CTGTTTGTTTCAGCCTCTTAATGGTTCAGATGTCTGAATGGTTAAGAGATTTGCCTCTGAATGGTTAAGTATTATACAGAGTCTGAATGGTTAAGACCTCTTATCTGAATTGATCAGACATTTGCCTCTGAATAGTTAAGCAATATACTAGCTCTTAATGGTTCAGACCTCTTACTGGTTCAGCACTTAATGGTTCAGACCTCTTACTGGTTCAGCACTTACCCATTCAGAAGTTGGCAAACAGCCCCTACATAGAGTTGTGAGTTCTAGACTTTTTCAAGGTACGTAGTTGCTAATATAGAGTTTTGAATTGTATGTATCTTACTTGGTCGAACATATCAATATAAATTTTTTAAAGACTGGCTACTGCAGAACTGATTAGTTTAATGATGGATATTTTCATATATCAATGTGTTGTCAGAATTTAGTCCATAGTTGAGCAGAGTGTCACACTCGTGGTCCTTACAAAGGTGGTTAACAACATAAACACCTAACCATCATGACTCTTTTGGTCGTGTACGAAATATCTCCAACCTATAGTTAACAAATACTCAATAACATTCTTAGCTAAACTTAGAAAAAACAACCTAAGAACAACAGAAAAAGTTATAAACAAAAAACCATAACAAAGTATGTCTAGACTCTAGGGAGTTACTTGAATGGGCTCAAAGTGTGTGATAAGCGGCAAATTAAAATGATAACCTAAAAGGAAGTACACAAATCTTTAATGATCATAAAATTCAGAACTAAAAGAATACATTGTATGTAATGGAAGTGGAAATTAAATATAAACAAAAGGGTAATGAAGAATCACAATTAACATGTGGTTTATGAAAAAAATGGGTTTAAAAAAGGAGTGCCATTTATCACTACACAAATATAGCATATTCATCCATTTAAACATTAATAAAAAATTCTTAAAAATAAAAAAAACATTGCAACCCTGTAAAACTTATAAGTTAGCATCCTTTCGATCACACACACATCTTATGCATTATTCACAACACACCGCACATATTCCCTTGTTTCATTGAAGTGAGCAAGTCAACTTATTTTTAACTTGAACCATTGTTGATATGAGCTACCACTAAGGAAGGTTAAAAATTCGAGTTAAAGATCATTAAATGCACCAACGTTTACATCTTTTAACAGTTCCAATTCCTAACAATTGTGGATGGAAAAGATTAACCTACTAGTAGAGTAAATTTAACAAAAACCTTGTGCGTATGCTCAAAAAATACTATTTTTACAATCAAAGCAATAAAGGAAAAATCGTGAGATGCCTTATCCGATTGAGATGGATAATACCTTGAGGGTTTCATTGAGATGAAATTAACCGCAAGAAACCACGTGATCATCCAAATGAACATTAAAAGCAAAAATTGAATTTGAAGTCACTAAGCACACACACATAATCCTCACAGGAATTTGAAATCACATTCAAAAAAATCAAAGAATATATGGAGTAATAAGAATATTAAGGGCAGACAATAAAACAACAAACCTTGTGTATATTGATGCAAGGGCAAATCAGAGCCCATCATTTTATTCCTAGGTTTTTTTCTTCATTTTGACTCTTGTTAATCTCTATTCTTCCCCTCATTGTAAACTATACCTGGAATTCTTTTTTGCAAGTGAAATAGAAGACGGAGGCTTGACTGAAAGCTAAATATTTGTCTGTGGCGAATCTACCTACAAATGAACACAAACCCTATATAAAATCTAAATTGATTGCAGTAAAATATACCAACATTGTGTGTCATTAATTCGGCTCACCCTGAATATCACCATTGTGCAATTCCAGTGCTTCTCAGCGGAAGAACTCAATTCCCAATGTAAATTTAATGAAGGAAGAAGAAGAACGTCTGAAATTTCCTTCGACCAAGAAGAGACTCCATATTTTTGAAGACTTTCATTCGAAGAATGGTTCGGGGAAGAAGAGATTGAGAGGATCGGGGATTGGTGAGTAGAGAGGATCTGTCGAATCGCTGATCTCAATTTTGGTATTTTTCGTTAGTTTCCTTTTGCGAAGAAGACACTGCGTAATTTTGGATAGTTTACTTTGGTAAATCGGTGAATGAGTCGACTGAAGAGGTCCATCCCGGATGAAGAGACGCGTGGCTATAATACATGTCAAAAAATTAAACCTTGAGTAATGCCAAATGGCAGCCTTTTAGAAGATTGACTCTCAAATTTTATACTTCCTCCGTCCCAGTGTATTTATCCAGTTTTACTTTTTCGAGTAACTTTAAGTTTCAATTAAATAAAAACAGTAATGTATTTTAACATAAAAATAACGCTATTGTATTTATCGTATTAAGAACTTTCAAAATTGTATTTCATTATACTAACATACAATATAAATTAAGAGTAATTAAAATTTAAAATTTATCCAGTTTAACTCGAAAAAATCAAATATTGTGACGGGATAGTATTAAAGGATTCATTCTCGTGTGGAAATAACAATTCCTTGAATTCCGCCCAATATAAACTTCGTCCCGAGTATTTAATTGAAATAATTAAAAATAAACTCCCAAGAGTCAATTTGCTTCCACTCCCACCTGTCCTTCATCTCAACAAAGTGAACAAACCAACCAAGCGTTTCCCCCTTCCCATTTCTTCTCCAATCTGCTGCCAAAATTTCTCCCACCCAAAACAGAATAAAACAAAAAACAGGCAAAAATCCAAAATAGAAAAAAAATGAGAACCAGCAACCATTTGATAGGGGTGATAAACTTCCTGACATTACTAGCGTCAATCCCGATTTTGGGCGGCGGGATATGGCTGAGCGGCAGGGCGAACTCCACAGACTGCATGAAGTTCCTCCAATGGCCGCTCATAGTCATCGGAGCCTCGATTATGGTGGTTTCTCTGGCCGGATTCGCCGGAGCCTGCTACCGGAACACTTTCCTCATGTACGTCTACTTGTGGGCCATGTTCCTCGTCATCGCAGCCCTAATCGGATTCGTCATCTTCGCCTTCTCCGTCACCGACAGGGGTTCGGGTCGACCCGTCATGAACCGCCGCTATTTGGAGTATTACCTCCCGGATTACTCGGGGTGGCTCGCGGAGAGGGTCACCAGTCAGGCGTACTGGTCCAAGATCAGCTCCTGTATTAGGGATTCTCACGCTTGTAAAAGGATCCGAAGGTCCATTAATGGCTTCCCTGAGTCTGCTGATATGTTTTACTTCCGGCATCTCACCCCTATTGAGGTATGTATGCTTTTTTTTAGGTTTCTTCTTTTCAATTGTTATTCTCTAAGGCTATGGAATTCGATTGGAGGCGTTAATCCTAATTTTGCTATTTGGTAGAACAAAAATTTGTGAATTTGGAATTGATAGTGCTAAAAATGAATTGGAATAAGAGAATAAATTCAAACTTATTCAATTCCATAGAATTTCAATTCAAAATGATACTAATGTAGTACCATATACGTAGTATTTGTGGTACCATATACGTAGTATTTTACTACCTCCGTTTCTCAAAAGAGTTCCTCTTTTGAATTTGGGGGAAAATAAGGAAGTGTTAAATTGTAGTTGACTTTCCAATTTTGCCCTTGATGTGATGGGTATAAGTAAGATGTGATAGTTTAGTTGTTAGTGAAAAAGTATGATGTGATAGGTAGGGTATGAAAAAGTAGGGGTAAAAGTGGTTTTTTAATAGAAAGGAGAATTGTTTTAAGAAAAACAAAAAAAATGAAAGAGGAAGGGTTTTAAGAAACGGAGGGAGTATTTCTTTATCACTTGTCATTGTCCACTAGTCAAATAAATGTCCACCGGCACCCGACATTGTTCAAACTAAATGTCTACTGTCACTGAACATTGTTCCCGCTACTAGACATTATTCAAGTACTATTTAGGGAATAAAAAAGTTTAAGTACTACGTTGAAAAATGACATATTTTTAAGTCTTATTTAGTGCACATTTCACTTTTTTGATTTTTTTGTTGTTGTTTGGTTTTTTTAAACATATTTCATTTTTCACACATCTTGGCAGGGGTAGAAAAAGTAAATTTTTATCTTACTCCCTCCGTCCCGCTATATTCGTCCACTTTTGACTTTTGGAACTGTTCATCTAAGCACTTTGACTCATCAAATTCTCTCAATGTGTAAGCCTAAATATAGTCATGAGTGATCTTGTTTGATTTGTCTTAACATATAGATTATTAATATATAATTTTTATAATTTTTTAATATACAAATTACAAGATAAAATGGATTAAAGAAGTGTATTGGATGGTGTGCAAAAATGAAAGTGGATAAATATAGTGGGACGGAGGAAGTATTTTGTTTGTGGGTAAAAAATGTTCTTGAGCAGATAGAGTTTAATTGGTTGGTTTCACTTTCACTTTCACATAGATCTGTTTTTGCGGCTGAACCATTGCCGTCTTGCAATAAAAATTCTCCATATTGACTGTGATTAATGTACTCTTCTGGTTAAACTTAGGATGGACCTTTCCATAACAAGAAAATAAATTCTGTTTTTTGTTGTTTTTATTATTTTCAAATAAATTTCCACTTATTGGTAATAATGATTTTACAAAAGAAGAAGAAAAGTCAGCAACTTTGAATTGAGCTTTCTGCCATGATTGGGGACAATATTCAATGATATTCATACCCTTAGAAATATCCCCCCACGCTAATTATGAAGAAATAAAAAAGCAAATGAAAAATGTTGATGGTAATCTTTTAAAAAACACAAAAAGTGAGCCCAAATAAGTGAATAACCTTTCCAATTTTGAGCACAAATTAAATATAATTTTCAATAAAAAAATGTTAGAAAAATCAAAATTTTAAAACTACATCTTAAAATGAAGTGAATAATATTAAATTTATAACATAATAGCATTTTTTTAATTTATAATCAAAATGTGACACTGAAAAGAGTCAACAGTAATGTTCTTTTTGGGAGGGCGGTAGAGTTTTTATCTACTTATTGATCTAAATTAAATGGAGAAGTGGATAGAAGTGGATGTAAAGTTATTTGTTTTGGGAGGGAGAAAGTAAGTGGACATTACATGAGCCAGCTGCCCAATTGTCGTTTAATGCATACCATGTACAAAGGATGAGATGTCAAGATCATTAAAGTAGATACCAGTAGTGTAATAAAGCAATGCTAATAAAGAGATATTTTTACGCCATGTTTTGGCTTTGCCTTTTTATTTAAGGAGCCTTTGGGTTTAATCTCATAACATTTTGTGTAATTTTGGGGTTTTGAGTCTAGTGACTAGTGGTAACATTATAAAATGTTCAACTTCCACCGGGTGTGGTTCGGTGGGCCCACCAAAATCGTGACTGAGTGTGCGTGGTTACTTTCATCACTCACTCGTCCATATTTTGGTGTCATAGCACCACACCGGTTGGAGAAGTAGCCACACTCACCTCGGGTGGATGAACGGGACGGGTGATAGGGTATGGCCCCTCCCCAAATTGCCCGTCCCGACACGCATTGTGCTCACTAGTGGCCGTGTGTTTTTTATATAGCACAATGTTGAAATAGTTGGACAAGATGTATCCCGCATTTAACGGGCCCCACAAAGTTGTGGTGGTTTCGTCTTCTCCAGTCATTCCAACCTTGTGCTACATAAAAAAACACGCTAACATGCCTCATAACTTTTACTTCCTTCTTTCCTATTTAGGTTCTCCAAAGATTTTCTTCCTCTTTCCTTTTAAGGAAACAAATATGTGATTCATATCAAATCTTTTTCCTATACACGGACCACAACCACCAATATTTTATTTTACTAAAATCGTGTGATTCATGTTAAGTCAAGCCCGAAAGATAATTCCGGGAGGGAGGGAGTAAAATTTTCACCCACCCACCCACATCCAACTCTTATGAAGTGCAAAATGAAAAATGACAAGTAAATTCCAAAAAAAGAAACAGACAGACAGTATATCTGAGAATCTGAATCATTTTGCATTTAAAAAAAAACTGAAACATGTGATGGCCAGAAACATCTACCATATCTCTGCCTTACACTTGTTCTGACACAAACACCTACATGGTGTGACACTCATTTAATACCAGTACAAATTTGGCAGATGGGCCCTTTTTGGATATTGCCCATCAGTGAACATTAATTTTCATGTGATAGCTCCTTCCATATTAGTAGTTCCTAGATACATAGCATCTCTTTAGATTTTTATGTTATCAATTATCAATTACAATAAGGGTCATGCTAGGGTGCCACCATATGGGTGCTACCATGAGTGTACCTATACTTCACACAGACAAACATAGATGATAATTGTCTGTGCGACACAGACAATTATCGTCCGTGTTTGTCTGTGTGAAGCATGGGTGCACCCATGTGGTGGCACCCTAGCATTATTCATACAATAAATATCTACTTCAAAGAAAACGGTCACCCCCACACCCCGGCCCGACAGGATTGTGAAGGGGATAAATTTGATAAATATCTACTTCAAACACACAACGATGGTACCATGGTCTTTGTTTATGACCTCTAACTTATACGGAGTATCAAATATTTTTTTTGAGAAAAAAACTTAAGATATCTTAATCTTGTGTATAAATAGTACTCCCTTCACAATCCTGTCGGGCCGGGGTGTGGGGGTGACCGGGGTGGGCGTTCCATCTTTTTTGTGTAAAAATAATTGCTCGCATGGATAGCTCAACTGATTCAAGGAGAGGATGTCAAATCTATTGATCTTAGGGTCAAATCCCGGCAGCGGCAGTGTGAGAGTTATAATTTGTAATAGCTCCTTGTGTGCACCGGGCACAGGACGACCTCTCTAAGAACCATTAAAATTATACCATGATTTACCCCATTTATAATCCTGGCCTGGGTGTGGGGCGCGTGGGGTGGGTTCCACCTCTATTGTGTAAAAGCAATACTCTATTCATGCCGATGTGGTTGTCCACTTTCTATCTTGGCACATGGGCTAAGAAGAAGAGAGTAAAAATAGTGTTGGGTTGAGGGCAAAAGAATTGACGTGACAATGCGACACTAATTACTTGTGAAATTTGCTCTATATAGTACTAAAATATGTGGTTAGTTATTGTTTAGTATGGAGTACTATTTAGGTAGATATGCCTAATGACTTAACCTTGAATAGAAAATAGACAAATACATCGAGACAATCTAAAAAAAGAATAACGGACAAATACATTGGAACATAAGAAGCATACATCTTTCAATTCCAAACTAACACAAGATTTTACTAATAATGAGGTGTTTCAATTTGCTTGACAGTCTGGATGTTGCAAGCCGCCAACGGCATGTCTCTTCGTTTATGGGAACGAGACGTATTGGAACGTGGGACCAGGGACCATTGCAGCCGACCCAGATTGCCAGAGGTGGAGCAACGATCAACAACAACTATGCTATAACTGCGACTATTGCAAAGCCGGCATACTAGCCAGCCTCAAGAAAAGCTGGAGGAAGGTGTCTGTGATCAACATCGTCATACTGATCATCCTGGTGATCTTGTACGTTGTCGCCTGCGCGGCTTTCAGGCACGACCAACGTATGGACAATGATGAGGCTTATGGTACTGCCAGAATGGAGAAGGAACGCCCGGCGAGGATACATTTCTAGGGGAACAGGGTAGAGACTAAAAGTTGGTTCAAAATAATATTGCATTGTATTGTATTTATTATGGCTTGATTTGATATGGGATTGTATGTAGCTTTAATGCCAGCCTTGCTTTGGGTCTTGTTTGTATTGTTGGTGTGCTCTGAATATCTTAGCCCTTCATTTTGGTGAAATGCTAGGGGTTGAAGTCATGGATCCAATGGAGCACCGTAGAGTTCCGGTGTCATCGTGAAGTATTTAGTGATCTCTTGGTTGTAGATCACTAAAAAAAATTTTAAAAAAAATGTGCATTCATTGGAAGGGTTCTTTTCATTTCAAATCATTTAATTGATGAGCAAAGTTGGCCTCGTTTTCCTAGAGGAATGTTTAACTTACAACTAAAACTCAATCTCCTTTGTTCAAGAATCACAACGAAATGGGAGAAATAAATACATCTCATGTTCATCTTCTTTTTACATGATCAAGCAGTCTAACATTACATGTACTATAAGTATCACCTTACAACAATGGAAGGAAAGCCATTTCACTTTAGCTGTTCTTCCACTCAATCTATTAAAAGAATACAAATTGAAAATCCCAAAACACAGGTCCAGTTTTTACCCCAAAAAAGGTTTCTCTACTCTTACAACAATGGAAAGAAAATAAAGAGAGAAAGCACAGTAATGAAGGTCAAGTGCTAACTAACCACTTTGTCTTCACGGCATTGTTCTGGACTCCATCTAGTGACAATTCTCTCCTCGACGACGTAATTATCCAAATTCCACGGCGATTCGACACCAACATTGTTGTCTTCATCCACATAAAGAACCAGCAATGTCTTTGCGACACTGCCGCAGAGCCGGAGAGTGCAGTGATAGTCAGACCACACTCTCAGACGACCGCCTCCTTCTGGCGGCAAAACAAGAACCGCATACTCCGAGTGCACCAGAGCCGGGTGATGGCGATACGCGACAAAGTCTACGCCGTACTGGGACCCGGACCTGACCACCCAATTCTTTGACCTGAGATGACAGTATGCTTTGCACATGAGAGGAAAGTTATCCCTTTTGTGTGTCATATGCTCCCACAGCTCTTTGACACTTATTTGGCATTGATTCTGGTCCACAATAGTGATGCATTTCAGAGAACAGCACAGGTAAAATGCTTCTTCCAGGCTGAATTCAAACCACTGTGTGACCTTCTGGGCTGTTATCCTAGGCCTGCCAAAACAAGCCCGGTTCAGAAGGTCGGTTTTTTCTGCATCGGCTTCGAAGAGTATGGTGGAATCGACGAGTGATCCCGTAGAGTTGGATTGGAGCAGAGAAGAGTGAAGATTTGATACTATGCTGGACATGGGATCTGCAAGTGCTTTGCTTTCTGCTCCCTTTCCTTTCCACCGGGGCGCCATCATATGTTGTTTGAGAAGAAAAGATTCGAGCTTTGGGATGTTTTTAACCTGCTGCTCATAAGCCAACAAGGTCTCATGTCATTGGATCATCTGGCAAACAGAACAGAGAGTAAAAGGTTTCACAATCCCTTTGAAAGTTGACGAGTTCATTGAAACATTTAATCGAACACTTGGGGGTAGAGTAGTAGTAACTGAACATGTGAGTTCAAAACCAGAAGAAAAAAAACTCTATCTAGAATATAATGTCAAACTCATTTACAGTTCAAAAAAGAACGCCACTCACTTTGGAAATTTATATATCTATTTATTTCAAAAAGCAAACAACCAAATCTACAAAATCACGTTAAGGTATTGAAATTATTGAATCATAAATATGATAATAACATTGAAAGTTGCCGATTTGGGATGAAGAAGTGAGGATGAAGGGAAAAACCTGAACGGCGGCTGATTGAGCTTAATCCGCGAATAGCAGACGAATGCTGGCCTAACAAGGTACCCCTGAATCAATCGCTGCTTTCTGTGCTTCTCCGTTCGCTGCCTAAACCATATACATTCCTTACAATACAATTCCAAGTAATCGGCTCGGCCATATGTAGACCTATACATAGGATCAATGGAATGGGTTCCGGTTTGGATTTTTTCCATTACGATATCTTTCAAATAAAAGTTATAATCTGTTTGATTTGGATTGGCTCGGATTTATTACATTTCCATACAATTTCCAGTTTTGATTCGGTTCTGGATCAGTTCAGATACGGTTCAAATATATTTTGATTTTGGATATATTTTGGTTCCGATTATATTTCGGTTTTTGGATATAATCCGATTCGGATTTATTCTGGATATATGTTATTTTCAAATTGAAATTTAACTATCCATGTTTCTTTTTTTACCATATCACATTTATCAATTTATCATCAATGCATCACTTGATATTATTTTATATTTTTTCTTATTATACTCTGTTCATCGTAAATAATCTTCCATTTTTACTTTTTAGCCATATATTTACAAAGTTGGACTACAATTATGAAAAAAAAGTATGCTTAGTAATGAAATTCAATATAATTTTAGTGAAATTAATTGAAAATCACTTAATTTTACTCCTGAAAATTGTTGCAACTGAATGAGTTTATATACAATTGAATGCAAAAATTATTAAAACTAGTATTTTAACTTGTGCCATGCACGGGGAAGATTGTACTTTTGCAAAATTTATTGAAACTAGTATTTTAACTTTTGCTAATAGACTTGTACTTAAAATGTTTAATTGAAACTGAACCCAGTTGCAAAGGTCTTACATTAAGAATTGTTTCTTCTGATACATCGTTTTGTTTTTAACTTTTTAGATGCCGTTAGTATGGCAGCATAGAGAGCATTTCATTTTTGTCTCTCATTCCTATTCTTTAAATGCTATACACATTCTCAAACATTTCAGGACTAGAAACAATTCATCTACTTTTCATCCACTTTGTTATAGTTTGATGAATATCATTAGCAAAAGAGTTGAAAAAAAAGCGAAGAGAGTCTTCAATATTTTGGTTGCCTGAAACACAGAGTATCCATTTAGATAATAGGATCCTAAACATTCTTTACCCAACTTGTTTTAGTTTTGCTCCCAATTGGCTGTTTCTAACTTTGTTTTGTACTCAATCCCAATTGTGTGATTTTAAGGGCATCTTCTGATAAAATCACTCATTGTTATCAAATTTATACACAAACATTAGAAGTTTTGATTTTGTGAATTTTATGTAGATTGGGGGGGTTGTATATCGTCTCAGGTAAGAAATCAAGAAAATAAAAGCATTCAATATTAATTTCTTGTTGATAAGCATTGTTTTATTTTTTGTGGAGTTCATTGATTAGATTTCAAGGTTATGGAGACATGTGTTTGGCAATTGAAATGACCGCGGTGGTTGAAGTTAAAGTTAACCAAAAAGAGGATCTGAAGTTATTCTCTTTATCCTCATCAATGACTTTGGAGATGAGTGCATTTGGGGATTTTGGAAAGGTGATAAATATATCAAAAAGACAGTAAGATTTATCAAAAGAAAGAGATTGTACGTTCATTGGGAGATAAGTCAAACATCCTTCAAAGGTAAATTTCTTACTACGATAAATAAAAAAAGAATATATAAGAGCATTCCTAGAATTTTTAGACACCTTTCCAATATTTTAAAATACACTCATGTGTATATTTTTTTACTCTAAGTGTTTGTAACTTTAACTTATATATTACGGAGTAGTAATCAATATGATAGGTGAACTCATAATTGTATAAAAAATGTAATTCATAGACATCTTGCGTAAAATCACATCACACATGGTGGAATTCAAATATGCCTTTCGTAAGCCATCTATGAATTCCACTTTTCAATACATTTATGAATTCACATGTCATATTGGTTAGTACAATATAAGTTAAAGTTATAAGTTAATTGAGTTAAAATAGAATATACACACATTTGTGTGCTTTAAAATGTTGGGAAGGTGTCTAAAAATTTCTACAAGTGCACTATATATTCTTCATATTTTGTTTACATAAGTAACAAATTATCTTTGGAGAATGTTTGACGTGTGAGCGTATAATCTTGTTCTTCTGGTAAATGTTAGTGTTTTTTTATATTTGTCAACTTTTTGAAAGCTTTGAACGCACCTGTCTCCAAACTCGATGAGAAATTGCAGAGAAATAGACAACCTTAAATCATCTTTCTGGTTGGCTTTTGCTTCAACTCCCACGGCCATTTCGATTGCCTAATAAATGTTTGCATATCATTTAGTTTCAACCAATGAGCTCAGTTAAAAATTAAACAAAAATTATTAACATGTAATTAATATTGAAGACTTTTTTTTATTTTTTACGAGTGAGAGGGTACACAGTTGCCAATCTATACAATGTTCACAAAATTAAAACTTCTAAATTTCTAATATTTGGGAGTAAAAATATAGTATCAAGGACTTGTTTTATTGGTGAAAACCTTTAAAATAAGATATGGTTTTCACTATTATGCCTTTGGGGATTCAGTAGAACAAAAAAGAAGGTTATAAGTGGCTAATTGGCAGGAAGATTAACCTGAATTCTGTCAAGAATAGTTGGAATTCTATGTTTATTCCTAAGCATCAGTTGTTCTCTTAGCTATTTTTCATACTACCTACACAACTTGTGTAGGTAGTTTTTCAGTTTTGGTTTTTCAATTTTCAGTTTTTTTTATATATATCATAAATTCAAATCAATTCATCCAAATCAAATAAAGAATGTATGGAACCATTAATTCATTCATATTTTAAATCCAAAGAATGAAACAATGAAAGAAAGAAAATTAGGAAAAAATCACTAAATTGGAAAGATAGTAAATGCGTACCTGGAGGGTGCAGCGGCGGCGTCTCTCTACCGGCGGCGTCTCTCTACCGGCGGCACTCTCTTTCCGATTCGGTTTCGGCAGTAGGCTTCGTCCCCCCTGCGCGCGGTTTGCGTTAGTTGTCTACGAAGTAGGAAGGGTTGGGGCGGCTAATGAGATGGGCTTTTGACATATTGGGCTGGGTACTGGGCTTCTTATATACATACATGTATTTTTTAATGGCGGACCATTGTAACGGGGTTCAGTTTCAAATTAACACCTCCTATAAGCACAAGTCTATTAGAAGACGCTATTTTTTTATTGTGTTTTTAATTGATTGATTGTAGCTAGGTTTCTATTGGACAATGGTTATTGTATTTTGGACAATGTCTTTTGTTTTGGTGGTGTTAAATATATGATGCACTCCGGTTTTTTTTTTTAAAGAAAAAGATGATAAAAAATTCAATCTTAAAAATAAAATATACTCCGTATTACTTAAAATTGACATTGCCTCTAATCTATGGCCTGAATTTGTTCAATTAATTTAAAATAGAAATCAGTGCGTAATAGTCGGGGCATTAGTGTTATTTTTTACTCCGTAAAAAAATTAGGGTGGGAGTATCCTGTTTGCCTGTTTGGGTTGAGCTTTATCAATTGCAAGTAATTACAGTAGTAATTTAATACTCCATAACTTTTGCCATTGTATCTTAGGGTCATTGTTATTCTTTTATTAGAAACCATAGAGTAGAAAATAGAGAGAGTATCAAAATAGGAGCTTCCCGGAGAGTTCTTATCATGTAAATTTCTCATCAATTTGCTTAGTTAGAGCATTCAAACCTCTTGGGCTATGATAGAAGAAAAAAGGGGGGTGATGGGAGGTGATAGGGTGTATGATTTGGAGTGTGATATGGTGGATGTAAAGGTGAGTGAGTCATGATGTGTGAAGGTGCAAATTAATTTGATTGGTTAAAAATTAAACACCCCCCCCCATCCCAGAGGGGTCGGACCCCAACCATGCCCGGTCACCCCCATACCTCATAGTCTTACAAAGAAGTACGTACATACTTGGTGCCTTGGTGGCATATAAGCTCTAGTTTCTACCATGTTATGATGACGCGGATCCTGCATTTCGACATGGTGTATATATTTATAACATGGAATGGCCAAGATGATGCAATCATCACATACATTGACAAAACTGCAGTAGAAAAGGGTTAAGGCATTGTCTGTCGATTTATGGTGACGACATGAGAAACTTTTTTAGAGCAAGCCAATGCTTTACTGTCATAATACTAGAAGAAAATGTCAGAGCCAACAAATAGGGATAGAGATAATTGATTTATAACATGATTTTTGAATTAATGGGTCCAAAATTTAAGCAGAACTGACACTTCTTCCAGCTTCATAATTACCTCAGCATGTTTCCCCCCATTCATGCTAGCTAGCTAGGTAACTGATAGCAGGTTAAACTTCCTTTCTGCAATAAAGAAGAAACATGGGAACATGAAGATAAATCAAGGCTCTTTGATATGAGAGAGTGAGAGGGGGGAGGGACATATCGAATTAGTTTATTTGGCATCTAAATATACAAGTCAGAGAATCGACGAGTTACATACTTCCTTTTTCTGCGATCAATTGCAGAACTCCTCACGTCAGTTTTTGGTACAGCAGACCCAGGGGGCAAGCCATATGGGATAGGAGAAACTGCCGATGAGGCAGGAGGAATGGGTGGTACTGAGTGCACAGGAGGTGGAAGTGGCGCAGAAGAAGCTGGGGGTGCAGGAGCTGGTTCAGGTAGAGGTCTCGGCAAAATGTGCTTCATTCGGTTGTTTCTGTAGTTCTTCCAGAAAAAGAATTGCTGCTTATGTGCCAACTCCTGAAAGACTAACATGTCAGAACCCACGTCTAAAAATGCCAAATGAGCTAAAAAAACCAAGTTGTGTCCTAGAAGTAGAAAATATGCTTATTTCTTATACTGAAGTAGTCTAGACTCTAGAAGTAGGAAATATGCTTATTTCTTATACTGTGAAAACATCACAACATACCCAGTGAGTCATTTTTACATGGGCAATTAATGCAGAGTAACAACAAAACCATCTATACCACGGATAATATATTATATATTCAAGGTGGAGATAAAAGAACACAGGGATGTAACCTTGTTGCCAGGATGTGCCATTGCATTGCGGAAGTTTGCATTTTGAAGCAGTTCAAGAAAATATAAACAATGAGGATACCTGGAATGAAATCAGATGGTGAGAGCACACATGTAGGATGGTAATCATGGCATAGAGGTAGATACTAATATCAAAAGCAAAATCTTTAGGATTTTAACATTTAAGCAAGCTCACATTATGAATTTTATATATTCAGGTCGTTGCCAGTACTGAAGGTATTTCAAGTAGCCAATAAAAGCTTCATCTTCAAAATAGCGATTCTGAGCCAAATCTACATTTCAAATAAATTAAAGAACCCAACAAGAGAGAGAAAATAAAACAAGTCAGTAACAAAACATCGTGATAGTGGAGGAATAAAGGAGCACCTGAATCACGTTATCTCAATATCTCACACTCCCTCTACCCTTTGACATTTGATGCCAAGACTCATACATGAAGAAATCAACACTTACATAGACAACAAGGAAACAAGATTAATCTAACAAATAGCATGCCAATAGAAGCTTCCCAGGAAATAATAAAAAAAATAGTTGAGAAAACATAAATAATGGCGTAAAGGAAAAATCAATGGGATGCTTTAACCTCATAAAGGTGATCAAGGCGGACCCTCCAAAAAGAAAATTAATAATAAAAATTCACAAGGAAGTCGAGGCATACAAAAATCAGTTTTCTCTGAGTCCAAAAATTCATTGAATCAATTCTCACATGTTTTTCTCTAATGAACTAGAAAGCACAACGTAAAATAGTCAAGGAAAACTGAAGCAAGATAGGTCATGATTGCTGAATGTAGTGATTTTAAGTGGGGCACACATTGCCACAATCGTAATGAAATTCAAAATTTATGATGAACTCACAATGGATATATGTGGGATTAGCAAGACATTGGACAAACTCCAACTCAAGCAAGAACCGTTGTCGACCATCATCTGGATCCTTGTATATGCTCTTTGGCCTAAAACGGTTCACAGGAAAAATAAAATTGGGGGTAAATAGAGAATTAAGGAAAGCATCAGATATATAGAACTCAGGATACAAAACCCATAAATTAAACTCTCATGGTTAAATCAACCATCAAGAGGCATAACCAAATTCAAAATGTGATTAAGTTGAACAGCTGCATATTTAAAGAGTAATTAAAATAAATATTGAACATAAGTCGACGATTGTTGAACAATGTACAAAAGATATTTAGAAAGATGCTTACGATGATGAGCTATCTTGAGTTTCATCGATTTCTTTAGAAGAAGACATTGGAAGCTGCTTTAAGAATAAAAAGAAGAAAATAATAATTGAACCAAAACAATCTAAAGAAGAAATGAAATTGATTTCACAATGAACTTAATAATCTGGACTTTAAAAATTACTTAACTACCAAGTACCAATTACCAAATCACCTACCAGAATATAACTGAATTGGCATTGATTTCTGTTAGGCTCCCTTTGGAAACGAGGAAAATGTCTTCTAGAAAATGAGTTATTTTCCTGAAGTCATTTTACTAGTTGGTGTTTGGTTGAAAACTGTTTTTTATTTCCCTTTGGTTCAATCCCGAAAAATGAATACCTGGACCAGCATCCAATTAGTGCAATTCCAATGTAAGATTACAAGTTGCGAAAGTCAATTACTTGAACCAACCAAATAGAGGAACAGATGTAGACTTGAGCAAAGGAAACTAACAAAACGGATTACAACAGATTAAGAAATCTATCAAAATGGGAGAGTTCGGAAATCAGGAAAATAAATTCTGAAAAAATGACTTTAGGAAAATGAATTATTTTCCTGAAGTCATTTTTCTTTGTAGTGTTTTGGCTAAAAATTGAAAAGTGCGGAGTACTTATTTTCGTTTGTCTCAATTCTGTAAAATGAATATCTAGAAAATCAAATTGTCTTTCAAGCATTTTATCAAACACCTTAGAGACGGGGGTGGTAGTGACTCAATTTACCTCAGATAAATGGGCGGCGATTAGGATGGTGGAGACGATTGAAACGGGGCGGCGATGTGGGGTGGTGGCGATCTGGGAGGCGGCGATGGCGATGGCGATGGATGTGAAGAAGAAGAAGAGGGATGGAGAAGATGGAGAAAAAGAAGGAGAAGAAGAAACAAGACGGAAGGGAAGAAAGAGGCAGAGGAGAGTGTGGTTTTCAAATTGAAGTCAAATTCCATATTTTTGCATTCATCTACCATTTGACCGGCAGTTCAATTTACTTTGACCGGTTTGACCCCATTTTCCAAACTTGCCAAACACAACAAAATGGGAAAAATAACTGAAGCCATTTTCTCCTTTTCAAATAGAGTCAGAGTTAAATGTTTGCATAGTTGCGAGGTCCATATTCTTCTCATAATTTCATGAGTTTTTATGTGAATATTTTTTACTTTAAAAAAAGTCTACTTCTTTTAAGTTACAAATACATTAAAGCCTATAAAATAAATAAAGGTTTTAGATCCAAAAAAGAATTTGCACAGAGACTTAAATGAAACAAAATCTTTTTCTTTATATATACAAAAAATCAATTTGTTAACAATTTGGTGTAAAAATAAAAAATTGAATTTACATATTAAAAATTTTTGTTCAATCAACAAAATTTTTAAAAAAACCTAGAGTTGTTTACGTTTAAGTCTGAACTAAAAAAAACCACCCAAACTAGACCATTAGGTCCATACCAGACTCGGACCGAATGCACCTAATAACCCTATTAGACCTAAAAGATCTAAAAACTAAAACTCTACTTTTTAATTTTTGTAATACACTTTGAAGCTCTATTTTTAAACATATCTTAATTTATTTAATTATTTTTTTTGTTACGTAATTAAAAAACAAAAAATATTTCACATTAGTTCTTATAATCCTACATTGAAATAGTCCATGTTGTGTATCTATCTTTAAGTTATCTCTCTTTTATTTTATTCTATTTGCACGGTACAAAATAAAAAAAGTTTAAGATATATTTAATTGATCAAAATAATTGAAAACTGTATATTTATTCGGTCCAAACCGATCCAGCTATAAGTATTTTGGTCCAGTCCAAGCTTGAATAGATCTAAATCTGGTCTTCTGTCCGTAATTTTATTCAATTTGATCTTCGAGCCAGTCTTGTTCGATTCAGTCCAATCTTGGGCTAAGAAACAACTAGACCTGGCAAAATAGAACCGGAACCGATTACCCGAACCGAAATATCCGAAACCGAAACCGGAATGACCTGAATCGAACCAAAACCGAACTAAATAATTCATATCCGATTTAAATCCAAAACCGATTAGATCCGAAACCGATAATATCCGAACCGATTAAACCTAAAACTGATTAGATCCGAACCCGATAATACTCGAAACTGATAAAATCCGAAACCGATTAGATCTGAAACCGATAATATCTGAACCCGATTAGAACTAAAATCGATAAATTCCGAACTATGTTTGCCTTTCAATAAGCATATTATATTTTTAAATTTTTACTTTTATTTTACCATTTGAACTAATTACATTACTTGTTCATTCCATCATAAAATTAATTATCTTCTTGGAAAAAGTATAAAATTTTATGCCTTAAATTTGTTATATGTAGAAATTAAAGATAAGTTATACATATAAATGATAACGCACACACAAATAAAATTTCCGTAATTTTTAAATAGTGAAGTGTGATATTCTTTTTGGGAAGAAAGGAATATATGATGAATTGTATGGAATAACTAGATTTTATCCTAATTTCATCTCATTACAATAAATTTTATTGATTTGAGAGTTAATTTGATTAGTTTCAAACCAATTTATATTAAAATTATATCATAATTAAATATATATGTTTTCATAATTTATAGTCCAAATTTGTAAAATATGACTAAAAAGTCAAAAAGGGAAGATTATTTAGGGTAGAGATAATATAACTAGAAAAAAATATAAAATAATATGAGGTATTGAATTGATGATAGATTGATAAATGTGATAAAACATAAAAAGAAACACAAATAGTTAATTTTAATTAGAAAATAATATATATCCAAAATATATTTGATCCGAAACCAAAATATATCCGAACCGAACTAGATCCGAAACCGAAATATATTTGACTCAAATTGTATCCGAACCGAAATTTATCCGACTTATAACCGAACCGTATCTGAACCGACTCGAATCCGAACCGACCCGAAAAATGTATGGAACCGAAATCAAATCCGAACCGAAATTTACTTGAACCGAACCGAACCAAACCGATTATAACATATAACCGAAAGATATTCGAACCGAAAAAATCCAACCCGAAACCGATCCGGGTGATCCGATTGCCACCCCTAGAAACAACCATATAAAAACCAGTCTTTTCGAATCGAATCTCATATAAAAAACAAAATGGAAGATTAAGGATGACGGGACAATGGTGTGGCAACATTACCATGCAGGAACACCATAATAACATGAGACATGGAATCATTTTAATTAATCAAGTTATACTAACTTTTTTTTAAATTACTTGAATATTTTATCTATTTTGTGTGCCTAAAAACATGTGTGAAGAAGAGTTATTGGCAAATTTTAAATAGGAAAGTTATTAGGATAATTGACAATTTAATTTTCTATCCAAATACTTGAGAGAAAAACTTGATAATTAACCATGAGCATGAGAAAGTCCTCATGACAATTCCACTATTTGATTTTTTAATCCATATAATTGGGAAAAAACTTCATAACAAATTAAGAGATACTCCGCATTATTATAGACAAAGGGCCATTAAGAGAATCAGATCACAATTTTTCTTGATCTAATCTCTCAAATTGCTACTAATTACTGCTGCCAAAGGTCACCTGAAAAACACAAATTAAATAAGCATCAATAAAACATGAAGTGGCCATTACTTCAAAATACTAATTAATCAAGCATTACCAATAAGAGGAAGAATATAGAGATTTCTCTTCCTATATCATCAAAGATCAAACCTTCATCAAGCTAAAATTCAAAACACATTAAACTCCGATGAAGAATATAAAGATTTTTCTTTCCTTGGAAAATGAACTCTCCGAGATTTTTCGAATAAGGCACTAACCTCTGCAAATTTTTGCAATTCAATTTCACCCTTCATCACATTGAAAAACACCTCAATATAGTATGTTTTTTTGCCCCGTAGAATGACTCAATCACTTCCACAAGACTGAGATTTTTGTTCTGCATCAACACAAGTTACTTACAATTACAACAATCCGAGTAGAATCTCACACAAAGTAAGGTTTATGGTGAAAGTAGAGACACTATTTCCACGTGAAGCACACTCAGCGTAAACCAACAAAGTGGGAAAAAAAAGTGGCAGAAAAGAGTAAACGTAAGTTTAAAAAATGAAATATTATTCATTAGATGAGGGGTTAGACAAACATACCTCCCTTTGGTTTTTTTCTCTCAGAAAAGATCTAACTGACAGAAGGCACAGGATGAAATAATGTAAATCCTCACCCCATGCATTTATATCAGGATTGACCAGGGGAAAACCCAGCATCTGGTGCTGGAAGGTTTGGGAAGACTTCCATATTAACAGCACTTTCAAGTCTCAATAACGTTACATTAGCTTCAAAGTAAAAAAATGTATAAGCACCCACTAATTAAGGTACCTGTGGGTCCTCCCCCGGCTGGAGTGCTTGGTCTGGGCCACATTCATATAGCATGTCAGTCATGGAAAAAGTTTTGCCAAGGTGAGTTAGCCTCGAATGAAATGGTAGCGCACAGATCCAACAAAAGTGGCAGTGATGAGCTATAAACGGGCGTTGGCACTCTTCTACTTCCTTGTGACTGAGATCTGCCGGGAAGCGGCGATTTGCCACAAATTCAGTGAAAGCTTCGTCTCCCTATCAGTCTTGAATACTCAGCCGCATAAAAATTTTTCAACTCCTCCCCCCTTTTTTGCTAAAAGTTGAATCGCCTGCCAAATCGAACTTGGAGTGCAAGCAGCAAAGCCCAGTTTTCAGGATGCAAAATTTGCTTATTAGCACTCTTGACCCTATTTTTGCACCAAGGGTCCTCAATATGGCTATACAAAACACTCTAGAAACTGGACATATGTTTGAGACTAGATTTTTTTCTCCTCCTCTTATTAGTTGGAGAAAATGAATGAATATTGCAACATGACTACTTGCTTGGGTCCCACGGTCGGCGCCAAAATGGTGGTGTAAATTATCTCCACCGGCATATCGTTCTTAGCCGGGCAAAAATGATAAACTAGTCTATCAAAACACCAAAGTACATACACATGGAGATTTTGACGTGGAACCCAATCGGGAGAAAAACACGGGCCTTTTTGGCGATGTGTTGCCAACGGGGGATTTTTATTAATATCATGGGGGTTGTACTTAGTACATGATTTCAGCTCGAAAGCCATAAATGGAGAGCTTCTAAGCTCTTGAAGAAGAAAAAACATACTATACATATTCTAGAGAGAGAAATTGGCAGGGGAGGGGTGAAATTGGCCTCCTGCAACATTGAAGGTAACCCCTTCTCTTTTAGGAAAGAGGGGAAGTATATTCAAAAGAATATTCTCTTATTCTTTTATTTTATTAAACAGGTCCAATTCGTTTATTTTTCGTAAATAAGTGGGAAATATAGCCACGTATTATTTCCCATCAATAACGATGATAAGTTATATTCTTTAATCAACTTTCAAAACTTTGTGACTTTTAAAATAGTTTCATTTAGAAATTGGTAAATATACAAAGTAAAATTTATATATTTAAGAATAATATTAAATATTCTATAAAATAATTGAAAAAAAAGAGTAAATTCCATAAAAGGTCCTTAGTTATAGATCGCTTTACATATTTAGTCCATACATATCAAATATTACTAATTTAGTCCCCAATTATTATATTCATTTCCACGAATGATTTTTTATTAACATTTTTGTTAACAAAGGAAGGTTAGAGGGGGGGAGTGGGTGGGTGAACTTAGAGGCATTTAACTGGGTATGTAAATAGTGAAGAGTTTGGGATATAAAAGGAAGAGGAGCCTTTATTGCAAGCAATAACATATCTTTTCTTAGCCCACCAAACGTCCACCCACCCTAATAATATTCTCATTCATTCATACACGGAAGAAAACTAAGACGAAGAAGATTGAAAGAAAAAAAAGATCATCGCCATGAATTGCAGATCATCCGATCCTAATAAATATATATAATCAAAATTAGGAAAGAAAGAAAGAAGAGAAAGAGATGGAAGAAACTTGTGCTTGAGAGAATGTCAATCAATGAACGAAGCATCCTCTTCTGTTGATAGTATGGTAGTATACATACGGAGTTTTTTTTTTCTTTTTATGGGTGTAAATATGTTAGGATCTCTCAAATCTATTAATTTTTGATTGGTGTGTCAACGCAAACGGAACCCAAAGACAGGCTAGGTATAAGTAGGCCTTATTTCCCCTGACGAATTGGGAATTTTGATTTTAATTGCTCGTATATAATTTCCCCCCGAAGGTAAATTTATCACTACAGTAAATAGAAAACAAACAGTATAATCTTTTGCTTCAATAGTAGTGTCATGTTTTTTAAACCCAAAAGGCAGTGATTTCACTGCTCCCTAAATGTTGCCTTTCAGCTTGAAATTGTTTGTTGAAGGAGAGATTGAAACACAATCTACGCGTGGTGAAATATGAATGGTATATATATATATATATATATATAGAGTTTGGTTCCGGTGAGAAAGGGATCTAATGAAAGAAATAAGAATCAATATTAACCCTCCGATCTAATCAGATCTTAATCTGATCGCCAGGGCATAGGGGTCTTTTTACGGTCAAGTGATAAACGCTAATCATCGTGAAACATCCTCATCCCTGATTTCTCGCTCACGATCGGATTCTCTTTCCCCATTTCCTTCATATCGGTTGCACAGATATGAATTCCCTTATTTATCTACTTCTTACTTTTACAAACCTCTCAATCGTCTGACTTTGGTATTCAACCTGCTTGATCGATTTTTTATCATGGTTCCAGGTTTGTTTTATTTTTTTGTTTTTGTTTTCTTATGAATTATGTAAACGTCGTCTGGAAATTTTGCACCCATGCTCGAGTTCGTTGGATTCATGTAAACATTTGTTTTGAGTTCATGAATGCTTCTATAATCGCGGTGATATTACATGTGAACATTTGTATTGTTC